ATAGATAGATAGACAGACAGACAGACAGACAGACAGACAGACAGACAGACAGACAGATAGATAGATAGATAGATAGATAGATAGATAGATAGATAGAAATACCGAAAGATGGATAGACAGAACAGATAGATATAGATAGATAGATAGATAGAAATACTGAAAGATGGATAGACAGAACAGACAGATAGATAGATAGATAGAAATACCGAAAGATAGATAGAAATACTGAAAGATGGATAGACAAAATAGATAGATAAAAATACCGAGATGGATAGACAGAACAGCCAGATAGATAGAAATACTGAAAGATGGATAGACAGAACAGACAGATAGATAGATAGATAGACAGACAGATAGATAAGAGACAGACAGATGGATAGATAGAAATACAGAAAGATGGATAGACAGAACAGATAGATAGATAGATAGAAATACCGAAAGATAGATAGAAATACCGAAAGATGGATAGACAAAATACAGATAGATAGATAGAAATACTGAAAGATCGATAGACAGAACAGACAGATAGATATATAGATAGATAGATAGAAATACCAAAAGATGGATAGACAGAACAGACAGATAGATAGAGACAGATACAGATAGATAGATAGATAGAAATACCAAAAGATGGATAGACAGAATAGATAGATAGAAATACCGAAAGATGGATAGACAGAACAGATAGATAGAAATACCGATAGACAGAACAATAGAACGATAGATAGAATGATAGAACGATAGATAGATTCTATCTAGATAGATTGACAGAAAAGTTAATTGTGGTGTTTTGACACCCAGCTGGATATGTATTTATTTTTACAATGTACAACATATAAAAACATAGCAAAAGGTCACAGTGTATAAAGGCAGTGATCATGTGTTGGAAAACCATTTTCTTTTTTTTCTTGCATAGAGAACCGTCTGCATTCAGATAATGCAGCATCCATGCAACATCAGCGTAAAAAAGCATCATCAGCAAGTGTCCAGCTCACGATACACACTATACACACGACCGCGGCCGCTTCCGCTCTAATGCCATATTCAACATCCCACCAGACTCTGCGTCTGCATTGAAGTTCATATGGGCTCAATGGAAAGAATTAGCTTAAAATATTTCATAAAACATATTTTCATTAAACATGTACTGTACACAATCCCAGACAGAAAACAAAACAAAACTGTAATAGCAAGAAATAAGTGTAAATCTGAGCATTCGTAGCGTACTGAAGACAACAGTTGCTGCTCTCACTGTCATATGTTCACTGTGGAGTTATAGCAAGGAAAAATATACCTGATTCCATCCAAAAAAAGAAAAAGAAAAATCATCATTTGTGTATAAATATATAATGCCAGCTACAAATATACACATACTTACAAACGTACATCCCTTTAGATTCAATAACACTCGCACAGAGCTGTTTCAGACTGCCATGTTTCAGTAGCAATTCGTTTGAAATGATTGACCAAAATGTTTATATTTTATTTACTCATCCTCATGCCATTTCATCATCTCCACTGAACAGAGAAAAAGACGTTTGACAGAATGTGCAAAATATAAAAAAGTTTGAATATGTGAATTTGAATTTTTAAGCAGGTAACTTAAATTTCAGTTTCTCATTTAAAACTACTGCATGTTTCAGACTTGGAATATGGTGCATAAGCCATAGGGATGACTTTTTTGATACTTTTATAGCACGGTTTTGTATATTTGTGAGCTTGACATGCCCTGAATGCTTCATTGTATGGGAAGGAGCAGCATGAACATCCTTCAAAACATCTTCCACTGAAGGCAAAGCAAAACCATTGTTTGTTTTTTGCCGCATCACCGGTCATCCTGATTCCATGGAGCTCATGTCCTTGTAGTTCTTGGGGTTCTGGAGCAGAAAAAGACGTAAACCAGGAACAAATTAGTGAAACAGATGCTCAGGCTTACTGTGAGACGTCACAGCTGTCTGGAAGCCTTCATGCTTTACGACTCAAAGTGAGAACAACACAAAGACGCCAGCACATAAAGTAGTACATCACAATACAGTTTTAAAATTGATCCCAGAATTCCTCTTGCTCCTTTGCATTGTAAGAAGTGTGCATGCTTTGTGAGTGTCAGTCTGTAGTTATTACGACGCATGTGATCAGCTGAACCCGTGACTTCCAGTTCTACAATGCTACAAGAAAACTACATCTTATCCGAACATCACTCCTTTGAATTTTCCTGCACCATTTGAGATGCAGATTATGCACTCAGCCTTCCTGTGGATCCATGGCCAGATAGATAGAAATACTGAAAGATGGATAGACAGAACAGACAGATAGATAGAAATACCGAAAGATGGATAGACAAAATACAGATAGATAGATAGAAATACTGAAAGATCGATAGACAGAACAGACAGATAGATAGATAGATAGACAGATAGAAAAGAGAAAGGAAGGAT